GAGTTCAAATGTATAATTGGTTTTTTTTTGGTGTTTTTGAGACAGGGTCTCCCTTTAGCCCCAGCTGTCCTGGAACTCACTATGTAGACCAGACTGGCCTTGAACTCACAGAGATCTGCCTGTCTCTGCCTCCAGAGTTCTGGGATTAAAGGCATGCGCCACGCCCGGCTATAATTGTTTTTTTTTTTTTTCAGTATAGTCACAGAGTTGTACAACCATTACCATGGTTACTTTTATAACATTTTCATAATCCCTGAAAGAATATCATTAGCTATCATCCCTAGCTCCTCCATCTTCCCAATTTCTAGGCAACTGATTAATTCACTTTCTGTCTCTTAGGATTTTCCATTTATGGACTTTTCATATAAATAGGGTGTGGTATTTTAGAGCTGGCTTCTTTGGCTTAGCATGTTGTATTCATGGTCACCACTGTTGTGTTTCAGTGACTCCCATTTGCTCTTAGGTTTTGTTTGTTTCGTTTTTGACACAAGGTCTCATGATGTCCTGGAACTCACTATGTAGAGCAGACTGGCTTTGAACTAATAGCAATCCTCCTGCCTCTGCCTCATGAGTACAGATTTATAGGCATGGACTTTCTACCCAGCTTTGCTTTTAGGTTTTTATTTATTATTATTATTATTATTATTATTATTATTATTATTTAATGGGTGTGAGTGTATAGCCTGCATGTATGAAAGTGCACTTTTTTGAGACAGGGTCTCCCTGTAGCCCTAGCTGGCCTAGACTCCCTATGGAGACCAGGCTGGCCTTAGTCTCACAGAGATCTGCCTTTGCCTCCCAAGTGCTGAGATAAAAGGTGTGTGCTACCATGCCAAGCCATGCTTTTAGGTTTTAAGCAACCTCCTTACTGTACTTATAACTTCTGTTCCCTTCCAGTCTGTTTTCTTTCTACCCACTTCCTTGTGTTTTTTAAAAAGAGATTTTACTTTTATTTTATGTGTATGAGTGTTTTGTCTGCATGTATGTAAGTGTACCATATGTGTGCCTGGTACTCACAGAGGTCAGAAGAGGGTGATGGATCCTCTGGAACTGGAGTTAAGGATGGTTGTGAACTGTAATGTTGGTCCTGGGAACAGAACCCACTCAGGTCCTGTAGAGTTGGGTGCTCACTAAGTACCGACCATTGGACTTTCTGAAAGAGAAACCCAGTCTGATCATTCCCTCCTCCTCCTGTATATTTAAAATAGTTTATCTTTTCTTTTCTTTTTTTTTTTTTTTTGGTTTTTTTGAGACAGGGTCTCCCTGTAGCCCCAGCTGGCCTGGAACTCACTCTGTAGACCAGGCTGGCCTTGAACACACAGAGATCCACTGGCCTCTGCTTCCCAAGTGCTGGGATTAAAGGCGTGTACCACCACACCAGGCTTAAATAGTTTATCTTTTTATTTAATGTGTATGAGTGTTTTGCCTGCATGTATGTAAATATACCTGTATTGTGGCAATGCCTATGGAGGCCAGAGGAGGGCATTGTATCTCTTGGAACTGGAGTTAGGGACAGTTGTTAGCCACCATGTGGGTGCTGGGAACCAAACCTGGGTCCTCTGCAAGAGCAGCCGGTGCTCTTAACCATTAAGCCATCTGTCTAGTCCCTTGTTTGGGTTTTTTTGTTTATTTTTTTGAGACAGGGTCTCCTCATAGCCTCAGGTAGCCTGGAGCTCACTATGGAGACCAAGCTGGCCTTGAACTCTCAGAGATCCTCCTGCCTCTGCCCCCTGAGTGTTGGGATTAAAGGCATGCACCACTACACCTGGCTTTGTTTTTGGTTTTTGAGGCAGGGTCTCAGGCAGGTAGCTCAGGCTGGCCTTGAACTTATATTGCAGAAGATGACCTTGAACTCTTCATCCTCTTGCCTCCACAGGCTTAGGACACCACATTTGGTAGTTGTTTTCTGTTTTTCATAGTTTGCTCTCACCACTGCCTTGAGTGTTCACAAAGGTCACTGGCTATTCTCTTGATGGTCATCTTTTTAATCCTGCTATAACACCTGCCATTGTTAAATACTTCCACACAATTCTTTCCTGTGATGAGGCATCGCCGCTGTTCTTCCTCTGCCCCTGTTCCCAGTTTCACTGGCTCCTTGTTTCTGCCAAGCCTTTAAGAATGGTTCATCTCACAGTTCTGACCTCTATCTTACCTTTTATGGCTTTGCCTGTCATTTGGGTAGCTAAACATTCCCAGTCTGTATATGTGATCCAAGTCCCTCTCTGTGTCTCCCATTTTCTTAGCCCATTTTCTGTTGCTAAGACAGAATGCCTGAATGTGAGAAATTTGTTATTTTTTCAAGATGTATTTTGGCTCATGATTCTGGAGAATGAGAAGCCGAAGAGCACGGTAACTGCATCTGGTTGGCTTCTGGGGAGGGCCTGGCGCTCCTTCAGCTCAGGACAGAAAGCAGAAGAGCAAGTGGGTGTGTGGAGAAGAGGCGAAGAGTGAGAGTGGCCTCATAACAAATGGCTCTTGGAAACAACCTAGTCATTCAAGAAAGGCATTAACAATCCCTCTTAATGACTTAATTAATAACCCCTCTTAATAATGCTTAAAGACTCCATCATCTCTCAATACCATTATAGTTTTGTTTCTGAGAAAGGTCTCATGTAGTCTGGCCTTGAGCTTGTACACCTGCTTTAGCATTCTGAATGATGGGATTACAACAGATATGAGCCACCGTGCTTGACTCAGTCAACACACACACACACACACACACACACACACACACACACACACATTTTAAGACAGCTATGTGGCTGAGGGTGACCTTGAACTTCTGATCTTCCTGCCCCCACCTCCCAAGTGCTAGGATATGCCACCATTCCTAGTGTATGTGGTGCTGGCCATCAAACCAGAGCTTCATGCATGCTATATAAGCAGTCTACCAACTTTGCTACATTCCCAGCCCCTCAACACCATTTTGTTAAGAATTAGATTTGTCTCTGCCCACCACAGAGCTTCAGCTTAGCTCAGTTTGTAGACACATAGAAAGTCCTTTTTCTTTCTTTTCTTCCTTTCTTTTTTTGAGACAGGGTCTCCCTGTAGCTCTAGCTGGCCTGGAACTTACTATGTAGACCAGGCTGGCCTTGAACTCACAGAGAGCCGCCTGTCTTTGCCTCCCAAGTGCTGAGATAAAGGTGTGTGCCACCACGCCTGGCTATAAGTTCTTTTCTAAGCACAGTGCTAGCCTTTTTTTCCCCTCAGCTCAGAAACCTTCTGGGCTTCCTATTCTCAAGAAAATGGAGTAAAAACTCCTCAGCTAATATCCACTGTAGAAAGGGTCTTGGCTGCCTCTTCTCTTCAGTTGCCACATTTAGGCCAGATCACCCCACCTTGCACCTTCTCCTACACATTTTATTCTGTGTGCTGTACGGTAGCCCTTAGCTACCTGTAGCTATTTTTAAAGATCACGTTTTTATTTATTTACTTATTTTTGTGTGTGTATGTCATGGTGTACATGTGGAGGTCAGAGGACAACTTAGGGGAGTTGGTTCTCTCTTTCCACCACGTGAGTTCCAGGGATAGAATTCAGGTCAACAGTCTTGGAAGCAAGTGCCTTTACCTGCTAAGGCATCTTGCTGGCCTACCTGCAACTATTTAATTTAATTTTTTTTTGGTCTCTTAAAAAAATATTTTATTTATTATTTTAATTTTATGTGTATGACTGTATTTCCTGCATGTATGTGAGTGCAATGCTGCGGAGGTCAGAAGAGAGCTTTGGATTCCCCTGGAACTGCAGTTAAGGATGGTTGTAGGTGCCATGTGGGTCCTGGGAATCAAATCCGGGTCCTCTGCAAGAGCAGTCAGTGCTCTTAACTGCTGAGCCATCTCTCCAGCCCATTTTGGTCTTTTTTTGAGACAGAGTCTCCCTGTAGCTCCACCTGGCCTGGAACTCACTATGTAGACCAGGCTGGCCTGCCTTTGCTTCCTAAGTGCTAGGATCTAAGGCGTGCATCACCACGCCCAGAATTAGTTAAAATCCTCTCCTTCCTCCTGGGCAGCTTGCCTCAATTCTGCCTCTTCTGCACAGACATTCCTGATCATTCTTTCCTTTGGACCTCACTAGTAGTTTGTTTTTCTCTGTGAAGCCTCTTTATTTCTCCCCATTTTGAATTTACCTCATTTTTAATCCTGCATGGAAGACATTTTTTTGAGGTAGAGACTACATTGATGACTGTATTCTGGGCATAGAACAGTGGGAGTTCTTTAAACAATTGTTGAATTGACCACCTAGAAGAGGGAGTGGTTGTCTTCCCTGTTATTTCTGTAGTCAGCAGGCTCAGTGAACGTCTTGGCATTTTTTTTCCTTCTCTTCCTTCCATAACCACACAGGCTCCCTTTGCAACACCAGGCAGAAAGTGCTGTCTTTCTCTTTGCTGGCGCAGGTGGCCATGGGCGGGCACATTCCATCTATGAAGCCAGTATTGCTTGACCCCAGTGCCAAGGACATGACTGGCTGTGAAATACAAAAAGCACCATCTGGCCAGGGCTGTGGGTCCACATGTGGGAGGTGGAATTTTGGGGCAGGAATAATAGATGGATGACCAAGGGGGAAGCAGGGGACAGTGGAAAAGTGGTCCCAGAAGAAATGACTGAAGTGACAGCAGCTAACCAAGTCAGCCAAGAAGCAACATTCTGAGTTAGAGTGTATATAGCATGGGAAGTCACAAGTTAAACTGTTCTTAGGTCCCAGAGGAATTTTCTGGGTGGACTGTCGGTAAGTAGCTGCATGTGCCCAGTATACACAGTCACCTGCATCAGAAGATGATCCCTATCAGCAGTGTCCAGGCACTCCAGAGAATTCAATGTCTGTCTCTTTTCCCTTGTGTATTCACTCTTTGTAGCTACCGAAGTTGCTGAGTATATCTACTTAGTGACTGCTGTTGATGTCCTAGTGTGTGTGTTTGTGTGTGTGTGTGTGTGTGTGTGTGTGTGTGTGTGTGCAGTGAAGCATGAGCTATTAGAGTGAGTTTACAGGCTCTTTGTCTTTCCAGGCTCATTTTGCAGAGGGAGAAGCACTTCCATTATCTGAAAAGAGGCCTTCGACAACTGACAGATGCCTATGAGGTAAAAAAAAACATTGCCTAGAAACTTTCTGGTACTTCCTGGTAGGTGTGTCTTCCTCCTGTGCTCCTATTTGAGCATAAAAAGCTGTTGGTCCTTACCTGTTGCATATCCACCCATTGTACCATGTGGCTCTGGCAGGAAGCAGGCTGCTGTTGTCATTGCAGGGCCAGGTCTCTGCTTCTGAAAGGGGCAGAACAAGGTCTTTAGTTTTGTGGTCCCTAGAGCTGGTGGAACATCCTCCGTGGGGTGGAACTTTCTTTCATCATTGGATCACAGCATGCTTCCTCCTGACTTCCTTGACATCTAGATAAAAGGCATTTATCTTGCCATCTCTACCCCTTCACCCTGTAAACCGCCCCAGTGTCTCTCCTGGTTAGAGAGCCAGTGTCTTGCCTGCGTTCCTCATTTAATCCTGGTAACTACTCTAGGAGATAGGTCACTGCTTATTTTCTACTTATAAGCAAACAGGCCTAGCAAGATTAAGTTAATATGCTCAAAGGCACATAGCCAGTGAGAGAAGGAGGTGGAATGCAGCACAAGCCCCAGCCCTGACATTTCCTACTTCTGTCACCTGGAAAAATTCATCTCCCCAGACCTCATTCATATACGGAAAACTGGTAACAACTGCCACCTGCCCTGCCAAGCCTGGGATGCTCAGTAGCCATATTTGACTCATATTAGGATCAAGGTCTATCCACATATCACCTTCAGAAGCTTTGCCTTGTTTCTAGGCACACCTAGTCTCTAAGTCCTTAACGCTGTTTCTGCTCATGATAGCACTTGTCCAATGTGCATACATATGCATGTGTTATGTTCACCTCATTCCAGAAAGACATGAAATAATCTGTGCATAGGAATCTGCTGCCTCTACTTCTTAAAATAGCCACACTAATATTCTGCATCCCCAGCATCCTAAGACTCAGAGCCAATTTCCATTCATTACCATGCCCTGCCCAGTGTCTATAGTGCTTGGCACAAATAGATATTTAACAGTTATTTGCTGAATCTATGCATGAATTAATCCAAGAAATACATGTCTGAGATTATGTGTTTTTCTAGTACTAGAAAAACAGCAGCCTTTCCTTGTGTATAAGTTCTCTAAGACCAAGCATGGTGGTATACACCTTTAATCCCAGCACTTGGGAGGCAGAGGCAGGCAGATCTCTGTAAGATCAAGGCCAGCCTCATCTATCTGGTGAGTTCCAGGCCAGCTGGGGCTTCAGGGAGCCCATGTGTCCCAAAAAAAAAAAAGGAAAAAAAAGGAAAAAAGAAACAAAAACAGTTCTCCACTCAGCCTTGCTCGGACACCTGCCAGGGAAGGACCTGTTGAGTTTTAGATTTGTTTCCTATTGTTCTTTTGTCACAGATGACCATGACAGCTCCTGGCTAAGGCCACAAAGCAAAACATCCTTCATTTACTGATTGCTGTCCAAAGCAGGGTGTCTACCTCCCTTTGCCATGCCTCAGGGAGTAAGACAGATGCAGCCTTGTCAACAGTGTCTTGGAATGACTGAATAAAGAATGTGTTTTCTCTCCGTCCCTCTCACAGTGTCTGGATGCCAGCCGCCCATGGCTCTGCTACTGGATCCTGCACAGCTTAGAACTCCTTGATGAACCCATTCCCCAAATAGTGGCTACAGAGTGAGTCTGACTTTGGGGAACCTGGGATGTTTTCTGGAACTCTATATAGAGTTTGAGCTTCCTTTTGTTCCTGTTTTATTTGTGGTGAATGGGAAAAAAGTGTGTTACAAAGAAACCCCTGCCCTTCTCTTGACCTCCAACAACTTCCTGAAACTCCTGCGGGCTCAGAAGGCTGTTATAAGCTGGTGGGTACAACAGTACTTTGAACTCTTGAGAGGAGGATTCTGGTTTCTTCTGTGGCCTTTTCTTTGGGCTCTTGGCTCTGATCTTTGAAAAGAGATTTCACCTCTATGAGAGACGTGATTTCATCAGAAAGTACAGTATGTGTTTGCCAAGCTGCTATAGAAAACCATGTGCCAACTCAGTGAATAAAAATGCTTTTGCCTTCCTTAAGTAGAACCATGGAAGTGGAGTGCCTGGAGGACAGGGTAGCTCTCCACAGGACTGGATGGGTAGCCTTGGTGTACCCATGCCATGACTCACAGTTTTCTTAGACCTCTGACTGATGACTAGTCATGTAAGCAATGAAGATGTATCCGAAGCTGCTTGTGCAGGTGGCATTCATGAAGTGGCACCTCATTCTTAGAAGCTCATTACAGTTTATGTCTATCTTAAGGAAGGAAAACTGATCATGCCTGCAGCCTTAGCGATACCCGGGATAGGGAAGGGCGGCCAGGAATTGAATCTGAGGAGTTCACTGAGAGCAAGCAAGTCGTCTTGGCTTGAGTTCCTCCACTCCCTGGTGCTCCTGGGGGTGAAGAATTTGGGGTGTGAGGCTCCTGAGCCAGGTTTATTTTCCACAGCAGAAGGTGGCAGCTGTGGCAAGACTCATGGAGGCTCACTGGAGCCCTTCCCCATCCCAGAGCCCCTGCCTTGGTCACATTGTCAGGTCAGAAGAACAGAACTCACATTGTCTTATTCATTCTCTCTTAACAATAACCTCTCATTCTTGCCTTCCTGGGCAGGCTGTCTTGTGATGAATGTGGATGGAGAAGATAATAAAGAATCATGCCATTAACCCCTGAGAGACTTAAGATGTGTACTGAGGCAGAGGGGAAATAGGCACTGTTTTTATCATCTGGACATTGCAACAAGCCTGCTTGCTTCCAACATTGGAAGTACAGTTGGACACAGTAACACGAATTTAATTGTCAAAATAAAGGCCCATGTGTTTTTGAAATACCAGCTGAGGGTTAGGATTGTTTGGGAAGTTTTCCTCCACAACTACACAATCAGGTTATATGCTAGATTGGGAAAGTTGCACATAAATAAGAGAAGGGAAAAAAGTAAGGGGGATTTTGTGAGAAATGCACAGAGGCCTGAGAGAAGAGGACACAGACCTGGGTGTATTGCAGAGACAAGGCAGAGCTCCAACAGTGAAGAGCTCAAGTCAGGATCATCTCTTTTTCTAGGGTGTATAATTCGTTTTATTGATGCAGCTTATTTAAGGAAATGTGTCATAGCTGCTTCTGTGGCAGAATCAAGTAGGAAGAGAGGAGCCAGTGAGGTGGCTCAGTGGGTAAAGGTGCCTGTTGCTAAGGTTCCCAGGACCCATATGGTGAAAGGAGAGACCCACATAGGAAAAGATGGCCCTTTAAAGAGCTTTTCACAGTGAACAATAGTAACAGTAAGAGATGCTTTAAAATTTACTTAAGGGCCTGGAGAGATGACTCAGCACTTAAGAGCCCTGGCTGCTCTTGGAGAGGACCTGGGTTCAGTTTCCAGCACCCACATGGCAGCTTAACAACCATCCATAATTCCAGTTCCAGGGGATCTGACACTCTCTCCTGACCTCCACAGGCATTGCATGACATGAGTGCACTTACATATATGCATGCAAAACACTCATATACATAAAATAAAAGTAAATAAATAAAAATTCAAAAAATAAAATTACCCTCTGCTTCCCTGGGCGTGCATGACCCAAAGGCCTCTCTCCTACCCGCAGGCCTCTCTCTCTTTAGGGTAAGTAGATCATGCTCTCTGCGCCTTGACACGTCCAGCCTCATTCACCCTCCCATCTCCCTGGCCCATCTCTCCTCCTAGCCTGGATCCTGTCCCATTCCTTGTCTTGGGGACCCAGACAATTGGGAAACTGCCACTGCTTCCTGAGCCTTTGTATCCAGACCAACCCAGTTTCTTCTCAGGTCCCCAGGAGCACTCTGGGCCTGGCCCCACCCTCACCTCCCTCTACTTCCTTGGGCCTGGAGGATCCACCAGCCTCTTTCCTGGACGCCAGGGCTGACCTTTCCTCTTCCTGATCCTTTGCATCCAGACCAACCCAACTCCTCAGTGCAGCCCCCAGGAGCCCTTGGGGCCTCTTCCTATGGGGTCGCAGGGACTCGGAGTGCCAGCTGCTGGGCGTGGCGCCAGTCTCCCGCGGGCCACGTTGCTGAGGCTCTCTGCTACCGGGGCTGGCGGCTCTGGAGGGCCGCTGTCAGCCGCCTGGGTGGGTTCCGTCCCAAACTACCGAGCACTCCCTCGAGGTATGAGATCCGCTGGCCGCCGGATCTCTTGGGAAGTGCGGAGACGGCGAAAGCAGGGTCTCCGTGAGTCGTGGTTTACGAAGAGACAGCTCTCTCCGGGAAGACTGGATCGTAGGCAGTAAGACACAGAACTCAGCTCAGTACAGCTCCTTTATTCAGTGACTCAGCTCGGCTCCAGGTCTTAGTGATTCAGCTCCGATTAATTAGGGGGAAACCAGGATATTTATACTGTGGGGGCAGTGGCAAAAGCCTTAGTGGATAGGTGCTTTCAGGATGCCCCATTTACATGTGGTGGTGGGCTTCTGCCAGGCTGCCAGACATTGCCTGATTATCACACAGGAAAAACCTGGCAGTTCCTATGCCAGAAGCCATGTATCTATGACGGCTACTTCAAAGATGAGTCAGGAAGAGAGTAGGAAGGCACCATGCTGATAAAAGGAGTCTCTGCATTGAACGCCGAGCCCCGTGGGCTATCCGGACATGGAGAGACTGCTACTTTACACAACCGGGGTCCCCAACATCTTCCCACCCCATCTTCCTTTGCATCTCTGGGTGACACGGCCACCAGCTGCCCTAGAGCAACATCTTTCCTGGGCCTGGCTCCCAGGCCAGTCCAAACCCCAGATTCTGAAGCCAAAATCTTTCCTGGAGGGATCCAGACCTTAGGAAAAAGCCTGAGAGCATCTGATCCTCATCTGATTTGGGCCTCTGTGGGAACTCCTGAAGATAAAAGCAATCTGGCCACTCCAGTATAAAATCAAAAGAGAGAACCGGAAGCTTAGAGGAACCAGATTTTCATGCCCAAAAAGTAAACCACATAAAGTGCAC